GTATAGGAAGAAGTGCTTAAAGTGTATGGAAAGCAAAGTCACAATGATATAAAATTAGTGTCATTCATTTTTTTTGTCATTCACATTGATGTTAAAATTACATTTTCTGATTTGTGACATTACTTTTTATGTACTGCTAAAACACTGCTGGTCACTTTCAGAAGTTGTAGTGATTCTTTCTTTTCCAAGAAAGAATGTGAAACAAATTGGTTATATAATTTTCATTTTTAAATATTTTAAAATATGATTTTAATAGATTTTTCACACTTTAAGCAATATCGTATCGCATATCGAATATCGCATTTTTTAACAAGGTATCGTGTATCGCATTTTTTTCCAATATCGTACAGCCCTATTAAATACTGATGAGAACTGCTTTTGTGGTGCCTTTTCAGCTTTTCATAGAGGGAATCTTAAGCCTGAAGTGGTCGGTTATGCATAGATTCAGTGCCAACGTCTCGGCCTAAGTAGACACTGGCATGAAACCAGCCTGGATGCCAGATGGTGGCTATATGAGTCTGTTACATGTGGACAAAAGGCTGTCATTGAGCAAGAAAGGAGACCGTGTGTCATCTTACTGATGGATTAAAGCGCAGAGCTTCTGCCATGCTTGGAGATGCTGTTCAAAACAGATGACGCAAGGCTCCTTCTCTTTAATAGAGCCTTGTGTTCTCTGCATGATAATGTGGCAGCCGTCTGATAAAGGCATCCTTTTCATCAGAGCCTATTCACAGAAAAAAGTAGATGGTTGGTGGCCGCGTGGTGGCGAAATGCAATTATGATGGAAATTGTGGCTTTGTTTGGTATGAATGAGTTTCGATGGGTGTTTCCAAAGGTCCTTCCTTGCAGATCAGTGCAGAGGATGCTTGTTCCTGGGTTAAGGGAAATGGAGTATGAGCCATACATTTTGGTTAGCCACTGGTTGTTTGTGTGCTGTTACATTCGGGGTAATTTCCTCTCAAGCTTCCAGCACAGTATTGCACAGGAAATACAAACAATCATCTGAAAGTGCCAGACTCTCTTGATTAGAAAACACAATGGAAGCAAAGACCTTAAGAAAAGAAACCTCTAATGTGTCTTACCAGATGCTACAGCAACAGGTTAAATGACAGATTTATGTATTTTCTAAATAATAGAATAGAATATAATTAATATAGTATAGTATAATATAATGTTTTTACTTTTCCATTTATTGATTTAGATGCTTTTATCAAAGTAGAATAAAAAAATGTGGTGCTTATTAGTGTATTTTATTTTTATTGGTGAATATTGTATATTATTATTATTATATATATAGGCATTATTATTATTATTATTATTATTATTATTATATAAAATATATAATATTTTTTACATGTACTATATTTATAAATACACACTTAATGTAATTAAAAATATTAATTTTTTAGGAAATAATTAAATAAATATGGAATTATTATTATTATTATTTAAAAATGAATTTTTTAAAAATTATTATTGGTATTAAAATAATATCTCTGTATATGTGTGGTTCTAGCTGTTAGACCTCAAGTGTAGAGTTCTGCAATGTCTCACTCTATTACTGTAACCACAGCTATGTGCAGCTGAGCTGTCCCAGAATGCAATGGGCTCCAAGCACAGGGCACTGTGGTGTGGTTTAGCTTCAGAGCGGAACTGTCCCTGGCTTCAAAAAAACAGTGTTGTCATTTTGAACCCAGTGCCAATTCAGCAGCCTGACATTTTAAGTCCAGCCGAAACAGTTCAAATAGTCTTTATTCATCTGAGGGCACATTCAGAGCAAAAGCTCCTCCACAAACAATCAGACTAGTGGAAATGCTCTTTTGACAGTGATCCGTATAAACATTGTGATACAATAATTCTTTGTTATTCAAAACATTGGGAAGATTCTTTCCTAGAACAGAAGAACTCTTTCCAAGCGGAAGTTTCCTGAGTCCAACGAAGAGCTCTTGAGCTGGAATTCACATGTGCTGGCATGCTTCATGGGGAACCGCTGGTTCAGAGGCGTTTATGTAATATCACAATTTCAATATGTTTCCAGCCGATGGGCTGTCAGATTGATACAGTGTTTGGTACTCCAGTGAACCCATTGCAGGCAGAACACACCCATGCTTTGATTGGTCCCTGATGTGCTCATGGCCATTAAATTAATTCCTGACCTTCGACCCGGCGCAGGGGTGAAGGACCAGCTAAATTCCTTGAGTTGTGTAAATGCAGCCGTATTTCCCCTGCATTCCACAAAGATTAGCACAGACGCACAGAATTAGCCTGGCTGCTAAACAAATGCTGATTGTGGCTATAAAGAGGCTTGCCATGCAGGCCTAGACGCTTCTGGTGCTGGCTTGGTAACCACGCTCTACTTTAGCAAAATCTAAACACGATTGAGAAATGTCAAACCGGAATGGCAAAATGGGTCTTGGTGGAGTTTTCCACCTTTATGGTGGTTTTTAAATGTCTTATACTTGTCAGTTCTAATGGCTGCTGTCAAGCAACTCTACACGGATCTGCTCTTTATCACCAAATCCACACTTTACACAGCCTGTGTTTAATGTAGTGCACAGGAAAGGAGTCTGGCACTCATTACAGGCATAGATAGACACATTTAGTTCTATTGTAACTATATTATCGTTTAGTTATATTGTAGTCACACTGCCTTTGACACGCACCCATAACAGAGGACAACCATATTTAGTTATAACTAATTAAAACGAAAAGCACTATACAAATAAATTTGAATTGAATCGAAAATGTTAGATACTCTTTATATGTATATAACATGATTCTAATAGTTGTTACACTTGATAAAAAGTCTATATTTTCCAGATAATATTTAAATAATATATTTTGACTTTAAGTACAATTATGATACAAAAGTCAGTTATTTAATTTAGCATAGTTTTTTTTATATAAATGGGACTTTGTGTGTAATATACATAACTGCCTTTACATTTTAAGCAAAATAATTTAATGCAATGTCATACACTACTGTGCAGTTTTTATGTTTAAAAGTCTTACCAAGATTGCTTTTATTTGATCTTAATTAGTGTAAAAATAGTACATTATTACAATAATGTAAACATTTTCTCTTTGAATATATTTTAAAATGTAATTGATTTCTGTGATGGAAAAGCAGAATTTTAGCAGCCATTACTCCAGTCTTTAGTGTCACATGATCCTTCAGAAATCATTCTTATATGCAGATTTGCTGCTCAGGAAATATTTATTATTATTATTATTGTTTTTATTATCAACACTTCATATTTATGCTGCTTTATAATATATGCTGCTTAATATTTTTGTGGTAACCTTGATCATTCTTTAAGGATTCTTTGAAAGAACAGCATTTATTTGAAATAAAAATATTTTGTAATAATGTAAAAAAGTCTTTACTGTCACTTTTGATCAATTTAAAGTATCCTTGCTAAATAAATCATTAATTAAAAAAAATCTTATTGACCATAGATTTTTGAACAGTAGTGTACATTGCATCACATTTTTAGTTTTGTGAGTCTTACAAATTTTGGGAACATATTTTAACATCTAAAGTTTGTTCTATAAATAATAATTTCCTCTTATCTGTATTATTTCATGTCAAAATGATAGCAACATCAGATAAATGGGAATGATTAACTGCTTTATTTAGCTGCTGATGACAGGTTTTTATAAACGGATGGCATTTCATCTGTTGGTGTGTGTATATCTTAAGGCATCCAAGATCTTGAATCACATCCTGTGATGGAGAAGGAGGGTCTGTCTGTAACAGTGACCCAGATGAGGTGTGGTTAACCCGTTAACGCTCATCCAACAGTTTCCTTATACATTTTTTGCGGATATGCAGAAATCTGCCCATTTTCCATATTTAAGAAGGTAGTGGCAGGAGGCATCTAAAAAGGAGCAAGTAGTCACTCATACTCCACTCCATTTACTGTATGCATGGGTTTGGTGTAATATAGCTCTATAACCTATATTAATGTGTTGTAGTGTCTAGAATGTATCTTGGAGTGCTGTGCTGCTTTAATAGCTGCTGGTTATTTTGGTTTGGTTTGATTTTTGTTTTTTGTTGTTTTTTTGTGTGTTTTTACTTTTTGGCTTTTCAAATTGTATTTTATTGTATTTTATTTTATTTTAATGAAAAACATTTTCTAAATGGTCACAGCTCTGCCTTTTTTTAAATTTTATTTTAAAGGTTGTGTAGCCTTGTGACTGATCAGGTCACTAATTATATTGGCATTATCTGCATGCCATTGGGTTTTCTTAATGTACCAGGAAACCGTATGCTGGGAAACCGACATTGCTTCAGTCATGTAGCTCTGTTTGCGAACAGCATCCATAATGTACAACTGTTTCAACATTCTACTCTGTTTGTGGTGATATAAGGAAAGGAAATTATTCAATATCTTTAAGTGAAGTTTAAAGGAAAAGGTGTCTGTGTTTACATGTCAAATGGTTAACACTGGTCAGTTGTCAAATAACAACTAAGGATAAGATCAGAAGAGTTAGACAACATATCTTTGCCAGCTGTATTGTTTTTCTCCCATCTGAGGTCAAATTTCAGTTTGCAGTTGCTGGAACAGCTAAAGAGAAGACCTTGCTTGCTACCCAGTGTTGAGGTCACATCCTCTAGGATTCTTTTGGTAATGAGGATGACTTGCAGTAATGATTGGGGAAAATGAGGCCAATGTTGTATGTGTGTTTTCCATCTCTAGACTGGGCTCTAAGATGCTCTCATCTTCTGTACATGCAGTCTTTCTTCTCTCTTCATGGAGCAATGCTGCAGCAGGTACTTTATACTCATACGTTATTTATAATTTTTAGCTAAATTTTCCCTCTTAGTCTACCTTTTTTCACCCACTCGGTAACCTATCACTGCTGTGTGCCCACACAGGGGTTTTACTGATCTTGGTTTACAGAGATCTTTCTGGCTATAATCAGCTCATGCATGACTCAGCTTGATGTCAGCGTCTTTGACAAGCTCGGCTGAGCTCTGTAAACAGTGTCACACCCTCTGGACTGGCCATCACATAATTTATTTAGGGTCTTAACTATCCATGATCATGATTTGTTTTTGTATGTGGATGTGGTTTTCTTGCGTCGAGGGGATTGTGTGGCTGTGATTAATGCATTTATCTCTGTTTCTGGAGATGGGAAGATGATTTGCATTTATGATATAGAGAATTTGTCTGGGTGTGGTGGAGATTTTGTGTGGAGCTGTGTGTGGTAAGTATAACCCGCTTTTGTGGTTTTTAGAAGTGGCAATATAATTGCTCTGGGCATTATGCGAGATTATACAGTAAAATTGCTTCTCATGACTTGTAGACGTCACTCTCTGTACTAAAGCTGAGAATTAATTCAATTCATTTTGACTTAAATTTTTGGCCATATAAATCTATCATGGCTCTTTATGGAAAAGTGTTTGTTAGCTATTTAGCAAATAATGCACCATAAAGCATTTAGCATAAAGCATGACCTATAAGTTATAAAAAGCTATAAAAATGGCGTTGTGAGACTCAGTGTTGCTCAGCTTGATGGTTGGACTGAGTATACCCCAGTATACATCCATCCTGGCTTTGATCTTGCGTCTGGATTCACTCTGGTTTTCCAGGGCCCTGGGAATGACCAGTGTAGAATGATTGGCACTTCAGAGAAAATCAAAGCAAGTTTGTGTCCTTAAAAACATGAACCAAGCCCTTGACGCCAAGAGAAAAATGACATGCCTATCCTTTACATGTGAACTTTTTCAATTATCTTTCCAGAAAAAAAAGTGATTTAGCTTATTAGTACTTTTCTCAGATATTTTTGGTGCTACTCATGTATTATTTGTTTGCTTTGGATAAAAACATGAATCAGTATTATTAATACAAATTTGAGCATTAATTAATACCATTTATTCTGAATAAATTTTTGATTAAACTGTAATCAGAATATCTAAACTCCACATGTCAGACTTTTTGTTTAAATTATGCAAATTTGTCAATTTTTTGCATAGCAGAAATCAGTGTTGCATTCCAATCAAGTTTCTTTTCAGTGTTTACAGTGTTATCAGAAACGAGCCTGATATGAAACATTTATAACTCCTCCTGTGTTCTAATGTAAACGATTAAGATAAATAACTACTATATATTTGCTACTGTTTAAACTTTCAGATGTTTTGTCTCATGCTCATGGAGGCTGTATTTTTTTTTATCAAAATGACAGTAAAAACAGTAATATTGTGAAATATTATTAATTTAAAAATAACTGTTTTGTATTTGAATATATTTTTTATAATGTTCTTTATTCCTGTGATGGCAAAGCTGAATTTTCAGCAGCATTACTCCAGTCTTCAGCGTCACAAAATCCTTCAGAAATCCTTCTAATGTGCTGAGCACCAAGAAACATTTTATTATCTGTTGAAAACAGTTGTGCTGCTTAATATATTTGTGGAAAATGTTTTTTTTTTTCATATTTAATACATCATAGATAGAATAAGCAGTATAGATCTTGATGATAAATGGAAATGCATTTTAGCACTTTATATCATTTTACATTAAAAAAAAATCTCAGTAGTTACATTACAAGGATAATATTAATTGCATACTGTGGAATCTCTGGTTTGGACAGGCTGCGCAATAGAGTCAAGGTTTCGAGTTGTACAGGGATCAGAGTGCACGCTGACATGTTATTGTCCTGCGCTTGCTGACAGAGTGTGTGATGTGCTGTGCAGAGGTGAGCGTGTTCTCGTTTGTTCCTGGCTGTTCTGTGTTGCATACTCTTCTCATTATCCCCAGCTGACAGCCTCATAGCTCACATTCCTCACCAATCCAAATGCCGTTTCTTTCTCCGATCCGACTGCAGTGTCAGCTCCGCTTCAGTCTGTGCGCCACCCCCGTCTGTTTCTCCCTCCCCCTCATCGTGTTCTCCCACACAGACATGCATGCCGCCATAGTGGGCTTTTAATCCACACAGACACGTGTGGGTGCGCTGTGTCCTCTTCAGGACGTGCTGTAGCATAGACTCCTGGCACCACACCCCAAGCCGCCACAGGCCTGTACCGGCACCATCTGCAGAGCCTGTACTATCACCACCTCCACTTCCTGCAGGGTGATTTCTGTATGCGGGACACGACACCGAATCCCCAGGCTATTTGCACCATCTTGAAAAATGATAGTGGGAGTGAGAAGTACACAAGTGAAAGAGGTGAAAACAATCAGCCTCCCTTGACGGTGTGTTGGCCACTGATAGCTTCAGGTTAAGAAGGGCTACAGCGCCCTCTAGTGCTTGTAAAAGTGAATGTCGATACATGGAGGAGTAAAACACGAAGTTTTGCCTCCTGGTGGCAGGTTATGGTGTTACAGCCATGAAAAGGCACTTCCCCTCCTCTCTTCATAGAGGAACCCTGCGTCCCAATGCTCATACTCTCCATCCTAAATAGTATGTGAGAATAAGTATTATATAAATATTAGAATAAGTGTGACCCAAAACATAGTATGTTGAAAAGAAAATGCCAAAAGTCCCCGGATGGTCTACTATTTCAAGTAGATTTTTTAAGTGTGGATCCATGCACACTCTAATGGCTAGTATTGCCCACAATCTACTGCGCTTTGCCAAAGGTTTTAGTTCAGAACTACAAACACAAATAAAAAGCATTTAAAAACTACAAACATGGCAGATGTGCATGACCGACTTTAAAGTAGAGAGGTTTAGATAAAGGGGATTGAGTTATTAATAATCAACATTTAACCTGGTAAATATATATTTATTTAATGTCATCTGTGTTATATTTCATGTGCAACAACAATAAGAACCTTTATAAACATCCGTTTGGCCATTAACTTTTAAATGCATCATTATGCAAAAAATATGAGCAGAGTTCTCCGCATAAAGACCCATGGCTGGCAGATCAACGTGCTGCTACTTTTCTCTCCAATACGGTAGGAGGTTAAATTTGATGAAATGTGGAGGATGTTAACTGTGATAAGATGATTGGGTCTGGTGTCAGTTTGCAGTGACGGTGCGTGTAACTATGCGACAGAGCAGACCGTTAAAGACACAATTGTACGACGTGATACTCCCTGCGTTCCATTCGGAAGGGCTCATCCCTATGCCCTAATCCATTCAAAGGGTTTACCCTTCGGAGTGAGAGCTTCGAAGGGTTGAAGGGTGTAGGGGACCAAACAACTGTTTCTTGAAGTGCCCTTCTGCGTCATCATCACATGCCCACACGGAGGTGCCGTCATCTTGCATAGAATCTGCGCAAAGGATCATGGGAGCCCGAAGTGTCCATCAGTTGTACCCTTCGAAATCCTTCATTCCGAAGGGCCCTTTGAAGTGGCCAGTTTTGAGCACTTTGGTTTGGAACGACCCTTCAACATGGCAGCCATGATTATTTTCACTGCGAAGTGCCCTTCGGAGGGCGATGTATCCCGTTTGGAACGCACCGAGTATGTCCTAAAGCTTGCCGCCTACTCTACTACACAAGTAGGAGTTTTCCTCACCAAAAGAGTACATACTTTAAGGGTGTAGTTGGCTCATTGGGACACAGCAGAAGTGATTGATTTTGGCAGTGATTCTTGGCTAAGACCATGGACAGTGTAGAACAGTCTGAGCTCGGCTGTGCACTGTGGTTTCCTGTTGCTTAAGGAAGAAAGGTCTTATTTTTTTAGATTTACATCTTACTTTGACAAATGCACATGAAAAGAATATCAGAACAATAAATGACAGGGTTAATAAAGCTTAATCCAGTGCACTTTAGCACTCACTCTAAATAAATCTTTTAACTCTTCTGTCATGTACTTACCCTGATGTCATTCTAAACTTGCATAGCATCATTTTGTGGAACACAAAAGGTGATTATTATGAGAATAATCCTATAATTATAATATTATTTTTACTAAATAATAATACTGAATGGGGACTGAGGCTGTCAAGCTCCTAAATATTACAAAACACCACAAAAGTCCTTGTGGCGTGCAGTATTAGGCATGCTGTGTTAGATACTGTGTATATATAAGTCATATGAACTTGTTTTACGATTCTACATTTTTACAAAAATTCAGCCGAGGGGAAGCCTGTTCCTTACACACAGTTGTTATATGTCTTCAGAAGATATACTAAACCATTCAAAAGTTTGGGATCAGTAAGATGTTTAAAAAAAATAAAAAAATCACCAAGGCTACATTTAATCAAAAATACAATTAAAACAGTAAAATTGTGAAATGTTATAGCAATTTAAAATAACTGTTTTCTTTGTGAAAATATTATAAAATATAATTTATTCCTTGGGGTGGCGAAGCTGAATTTTCAGCAGACATTACTTCAGTCTTCAGTGTCACATGATCCTTCAGAAAACATATGCTGATTTACATTTCTTCTTATTATTAGTGTTCAAAACTAAATTATTAGTGTTGTGCCGCTTAATATTTTGTGGAAACCATTGTGCATTGTTTTTCAGGATTTCATGGAAATTAAAAAAAAAAAAAACTACAGAATTTGTTTAAAGACTTTTACATCATTACAAAAATATATTTCAGTGTCACACTTGATCAGTTTAATGCATCCTTGCTAGCCCCAAACTTGTAAATCTCATGAATTACTTTTTGGTCATTTTGGAGTTTGACAGCCCTAGTCTCCATTCACTGGCTTTACATGTAAAAGAATGGGAGATATTCTTCAAAAATCCACCTTTTTTGTTTCCACAGAAAAGAGAATGTCACAGGGGTTTGGAGCGACATAAGGGTGAGTCCTAAGTAAAGTCAGTCGTGCTCAGCTCTTGCAATGATATACGTGTTCATTAGGTGTGAGCCACACCAGCTTTCATTTCCAGCGTGCTCTGCGCTTTTAAATTCACTCTGTGTAGGAAGTGCCAAGGCCTTGCGTCACTTCCTCAACCATCTCTCTCAGCACTTCTGTTTTTCTCCTCTGTTTCCCCTTTCCACCCTACACCTCTGTATCTCACTGAGGAAAAACGCTTATCCAGCGCTCATCACCTTGATTCTCGCTCCACATCCCCAACAACAAAGTTTGCACCGTCGTTCAAAGTTTGCGAGCTTCGGCACAGCCTGCGTACCGTTCTTTGGAACCTGCAGACTCCCTCACGTGCACGTCTGCACTGGACCAACGTTTGCTCTGGAGCAGCTGAGCAGGAGAAGCAACTGTGGATCTGTCCATCGCCTGGCTTACATTTTTGGGGGTGGGGAGAAAGCAGGAGTTTTGCAGCGGTGGTACTTGAGGTTTTATTTTTAGCCTCTTCCCGACCCTCTACCATGACAGCTGTCTCCCTCCTCCTCCTCCTCCTCCTCTGACAGAGCAGAGTCAGGAATAGCCTGTCACTTTGCACCTCTCAGAACTTGGGCTGCCGGTTAGTGTGACGTGGATCTTCTGGTTCTCAGGACTGTCTCTGTCTCGAACACACACATACACGAGTCTTGCCGCTTTGGTCGGCACTCAGCTGCACTCTGACCTTGGTAAGTGAGCGACGTTAAGTGTTCGGAGCTGCCGCAGAGGATCTAAGGTAAGGCAGCAGAAGTTACTCATGGTTCTGGATGAGGGAGCTGTTGATCTAGACCTATGGAGGAGTCTGTGGGCTCTGAGCACTGCTGCGGTCTGGACTCAGGCTTGCTCTGTCACCTATTTTTAGGCTTGAGTGTAATGGAAAATCTTAATGATAAATCCAGCACGTTTTGCGATTTTACTTGAAAAGGTTAATTAAATTATGTTTTTTTTTTCATACTGTAATGTTTGAATTGCGGATTGTGCTTGTGATTGTAATATGGTATTTTGAGACTGGAATGGTGCGCTGGATTGGCATTTCTGAGGTTAAGTGCTCAAGGCCATCATGCTCAATAGAAGCTTTGTTTGAGTTGGTTTGCTCTTGTGGAAAAAGGTAGTGCCATTTCAGGTGTCTCATTTATTTTACTCTTGAGATGAATGTTTCAAATGGGCCTCATTTGTGGACTTTTGTGGCTATTTTTAAATGCTTTTGAACTCTTCTTCTGTTCAGTGAGTGTCGAGTGTTTGATAGATGAAGTCAGGAGGTTATTTTGTGTATAGAGTCATTGGATCATATGCTTCGCAGTTTGCCTGCTGAAGCTTTTATTGATGTGGCCATAAACTTTCAGCTGTTCATTTGTATCTTTTTATGTCTCTTTTGTTGAGCTAAATTGCTGTTGCTGGTGTGGATTTGTTTCGGTATATGTTTCTTCATTTCTCAGTTGAACTATAATTCGGTTCAGGAAATGAATTCAGTTTTGTTGGTTGAATTGCATTTAATCTTCATAAATGCCTAATTGGCTACTGTATAATCATGTGTCCTCAAGAATAATCTAGAATTAAAGCTGTTCAATTCTATTAGTTTTGTTTTGATCACTTATATATGCTATGTGTAGCCTTGTTATACATGGACAAATAATGTGTTTTATCCTATTAACCATATTAATGTCACATATTCTACAAATTTATGTCCAGTTGCATTTGCTTCCCATTGGAGGAAAAGGAGGGCCATTTGCTTTGTTTTGGGTTTTCAGTAATTATCTAGCAGATGAATATACAAATTGAGCAATTATCAGTATTTCTGTGATTTTACGTATTGAAATCTTGCTATTATTATTATGATTATTGGCAAATTTGAGAATAGAATATTTCAGGGAATGTAAATTCTTTGGTTTCTGCTTTTACAACAACAAGCTACATAATTACGGTCATATTTGATGTTAATATTTTTTGTATTCCTTTTTTGTTAAGTTATTAGTTTGTTTCTGGTTTTGTTACTGATTGGATTGTTACTGTTGTTTGCGCAGCTGGCCTATATTGATTTGGGCCGCTTAATGCCCATGGGGTAACTCTTATAGAAAGTCTGTGCTGTCAGTATTACAGAGCTCTGTTAACAGATAAGCATGCCATGGGTAACTTTATATAGCTGCAGTGTGTCTGTTGGCTGGAAGGCCTGGTGAAGGGTCAGTGGTGGGTTTAGGGGAGTTCAGGGTGGGATCTAGATATGGGGTTAAAGGAGAGGATGGCAGCCACACCAGACAGGTCTAGTATTGGATCCCAGAGTAATCCTTGCAGCTGATGCCATGCAATGTGGTAGCGTGACAATGAGGTGAAAATGATTTGTGTTTACAAACAAAAGCTCTCTGGCAATTGTCCTTTTTTTAAAGGAATTTAATTCTCACTCATGTCGTTCCAAACTTGTATTGTGTAAATGTTTGAAAAATGAGTGACCAGGCTTTCAAGGTTCCAGAAGGAACAAAAAAGTACCATAAATAGTCCATATGATTTGTGTGATTCTTTTCATGGTTGTGCATTTTCAACCATGAACTTTTATAAATATACACGAAAATGTGAATTAGCAGTGGAATTTTTATTTGTTCCTTAGAGGGCACTAGGATTGTGGCATAGTCACAATGGATCATATCACTCATAAAGTTTTGTGTTTTTATTTTTTTTATTTTAATTTTTTATAGGAATATATCTATTCAAAATGCTTTAGTTTTACAGAAGTCAGACTGCAGCTGTACAATGAGCCCTCTTTATGACCCTCCCATAGGTCTGTCATATGTCTCTTGTTCTAATATATGTCAACAAGTTTAGCTTGATTTTTAGGATCCTTTTTAAATGTCATGATTAAATAAATTCCCTTAATATGCAACTTGGAGCAAATCCCACTGTTAAATCACTTCTTTCTACCCAACAGAGCCAAGAGTCTCCTCTTCTTTCCAGCATTGTGGGTCTTGTTTACCTGAAGTTTGTGACCTCACATAACATAACTGTGAAGACCAGCATCCCATTGTGCCAGCCCTCTTGTCTGCTGGTCCCTCCATCTGTCACTCATCTTTTCATCCCGCCCTCCCGTCCTCATCAAACCCTTACCCGGCCCAGCCCATGACAGCAGCTTTGCCAGCATGGCATTTTCATCACGCTTTTCCTTCTGGGAGCGAAAGGAAAGTGATGCTCCATTCTCATCTTTCTGCACTGTGTGACATCAGCTAGGGGGTGTGCATGAAAATGCATCAATGCTTTCACTTTTACATCTATCTGTAGCAATGCACTGGGGTGCCGTGTGCACGGTTCATGAACACACAGCTGCTAACAGCTCCGTTCAGGGCATGTGTGTGTGTGTGTGTGTGTATGTGTTCAGGGCACATGGATAATTTTAGTAATAGGCATTTGTTGCAAATTAAGGAGACAAGATTTCTGTAAAAAGTAAGGTATTTTTATTGTAGAGTTTAAACAACTTGCGTGTCAGTGAGCTTTGTGCAAAACCTGCTGACAGATAAACATTGTTTATTTGGTGTAACTCATAATCCACTGACAGAATCTGCTGGATATGTGTGTAGGAGTCAAAAGGCAGCATGATAGGGAGTAAGATGGGGCGTACTTTCAGTCTGAGTGTGCAAATGCATGCTTGGAGATGTGCTTCATGCAGAAACTTTAAATGCAAAAAGTCACTAAAGTGTATTTATGCGATAGTTCACCTCCTGTGCTATCTCTGTTCTCTCCTGCATACAAAGCTTCTGTATAATTTGTCAACAGAAACTAGTATTCTACTTCCCTTTCAACTAGTTTATTGTGTTTGGTAGCCAAATGCTTTTGCTTTGCTTTGTCCTTTAGTGATAAGATGCAATATTTACAGCGTTTACTATGGAAAGACAGCCATCTGCGTAGGTTTCATTTCCCAAGAGAGTTCTGAGATATTTTTACTGAAGGGCCCCATCAAAGAACAGCAAATGAATCAGAAATATGTAGGCCTACATAAGAACCAACACAAGACAGCATTGCATGATGTGCTGGTTAAGGAAATAATTGAAAATAACAGTGTTTTGAGATGTGTAATTGTGTAATTTAAAGTGCTGTGTATTGATTTAGAAATACTTTCTACCCTTTCTCACTGACAATCTACATCTACCGTATCTGCTGGGTGAGTAGTCTGACAGTGATGGTAGCCTGAGTAGCCGCTCCCAGTCAGTGCCCAGCCTGGAGCCTGGCAGAGACCTACTGCGTGCCAAGAGTCCTCAGCCTGTTCAGGACACACACGCAGAGGTCAAGTCCCAGCCACAGTTCAGGAGAGTCAAAAGCCCCTCACCCAACAGAGACAAGATGGCGACCAGAAAGTTCTCTGAAGTGCCCAAGATGCCGGAGCGCTTCAAAAGCCCTGAGCCTCCCCAAGCTCCCTTAAGTCCTGAACCTTTAATGAATGGAGAAAGCAAAGTGAATGGTGCCCTCAATGGCAGTGCTAAGACTACTGATAGTGCTAGTCAACCAGAGCTCACAGAGGACTTAAAGGGTGGGACCCATAAGAAGGTGATAAAACTGGTACGCAGAGTGGTTAGGAGGGAGCCCGAAACTGCATCCATTTACAACAGTGAGCGCAAGCTAGATTAAATTGATTATTACGTTTTGAGTATGGCTATTTTTCTAACAAAAACGCATCAATTCACTACAGGAGGCCTTTGTTCACCCCCCGGAGCCGCGTGAGACACTCTTTGAGACACACTTTTTTTTTTTTTTTTTTAAATGGATGGGCGCTTTTTATTTCACTTCTTTTGGACTGAAGCACTGCAACACCCACTGACTGCAATGATAGAGCTTGGAATAGCCAGGACGATTTTTAATCTAACTCTGACTGGATTCGCCTGAAAGAAGAAAGTCATATACATCTAGAATGCATCGGGGGTGAGTAAAACACAGCCTAATTTTATTTTTTGGGTGAACTAGCCCTTTACCTGTGTGAGGAGTGCACTAATGTGAACGGCGTATACCACTAGTACGAAGATGTTCCACCTTATAGTCTGTATGTAAATGAGCAAGTTGCTCATTTTTGCTGCTGACGTTTTCATTTTTACTAAACATTTTCTCTGCATTTATCCTAGTGGTTTGTGTCTCTCGGAAGTGCGAAACGGCACCCTTCTCCTAAACTTCTTACTCTGTCTCTGAGCTGAGTTGACTTTCTAGTCTCTTTGGGCTTAATAGATCAGCCCAGGACTTATGGTTCCTGAATGTCACCACTGGAAAACCAACTTTAATGTGCTGATCTCGCAAATTAAGGTGGAGTTGAAGGCCTTTAGTAGATTAAACCACTTCAGAGACCCACAGAGCTATTTACTAGTTTTGATTACTCAAGGTTAGGAGCAACATAAATCTGTGTGGACACTGCATCTTATGGATTGATTACTGGTTTTGTGTTGGATGGTTCTTTTGGAGTGGTTTGATTGTTGCATTTCAGATCAGAAGAAACTAATTTGTGATTGGTTGCATGGATACTAACTTCAGTCCCTTATACAACTTTGTGACTTTTTGTGTGGTTTGGACGTGATATTGGAAGGTGAAGACGATCGTACTTATGCCACCAACTCGAGCAGGGAGACCTTCTCCTGGGAGCATTTGTAAACCCACTCTACCAACCTTGTCCAAAAAGGTGTGTGTTTGTGTGTTTTACTAAGATCACACTCTGCAGCAGTTAGATGTCATGCCTGCTGGAAGGGAATGCAGCATGCTAACATACACATTCGTGACTTTGGTTTCAATCAGGTTCTGTGTAGAGCTTTTACAATGTATCCTTTTGGATAAATTGATGTTGGCTACTACATAACATTACTCAATAACAAAGCTATGTGCATAGTCTGAGTTAGACTCACCTCTTCTTGGTGGTCTGGCCTATAGGAGAGTCTGCCACTGAGTCCCACAGAAGAAGCACAGAGGCGGCTGGAGAGGATCTTCGCTGCACCTGTAATCTTCCATCTTCCTCTTGTCTTCATTTATGCTTCCTCATCTTTTTCCTCTGACTCACACACACACACACACACACACACACACACACACACACACACACACACACACACTCTCTCTCTCTCTCTCTCTGATGCTAAAATTTGCTTTATCCAGTTTTACATGGCTCTGACTGCATTGGCTCTAGGCCTATAAATAAAGCACTTTAGAGCTTGACAGCATTTACGCTGACTGAATACTTATGGAGAAATGGTTTAATACACTACATTGTTAATGAGGACATTAATGTGAGCAGAGTGACTACATAGTGCCTTCACATCTAATGGTTATGAAACCCCGTCTCTGTAGAAGCAATTTATGGCGTTATTCCAAACTCTAGTGAACCTGCCTATCTAGACACCATGATGGCAGTTCCAGAAATCTTTCTTAAAAATTGTTTAGACAAAGTTTTAAACAAGCAAGCCTAAGACAAAAAATCAACTAAAATGACTTAATTATTTGTATAGTGTTTTGCCCCAATGTTTTCTGATCCATTTTAAACAAAACAAGGGGGGGATGACAACAGAGAAGACAACATTACTCCTGAAAAACATTCAAAAATGTTCTTTCTCATAAAAATATGATACAAATCTTATTTAAAAAATATTTGACCCAACTTTTTATTAATGCTATGTTTGTTTGTGTAGCATATTGTTAGCTTAGCAACAAATGGTAATGCAAAGCTACAGTACTATTTTTTGTGTTATTTGTATGTTTTGTTCAAGACACCATTGCTGCCCCCATATAGGGTTTCAATTCAATGCTTTTCAATGCTCCATATTTTTAGGATGCTGCCTTAGAGGTTAGCTGCCTAAGTAGAGAATATACAACAAGGCAACTCACGAGGTTTTGGAATAGAGCTTGTATTGTATTATGTATTATGGGCTGCTCTGCTACGAGACCAATAATTAGGTGTTTTTCCTCTCTGAAATAGCTCAACCTTCTGCTCTGATGTCTACTGAGCTTAGATGTGTGTGTTATTATACCCCATTTTTGCCCCTTTTTTCACCATTTCATGCACTTTTAACTTTTGCTGTGTGCTGCAGTACAACTTTAGTATCTAGCCAAGAGGTTTTCATTGGTTCAGGCATGCCCTTCTCACCTCCATGTGCCTGCTGTCCTTTCGTCTGTGGATACATGTCTCATCTCTACCTCTCTCTCTCATCCACCGCTGTCTCTGTGGCTGTGATTGTTTGGCTGGCTGGTCTAGCTGGAACCTGTGGCCAGTGCCTCTGCGTCGTCTCAGGTACAGGGCCCCTCTGGGGATGGCTCTTCCCCTACTGCGCCCCTCCATGGCTTGGCCCGAGTGTGCGCTCATGTGGCCTGTTGGAGTGTAAGCCCTCTGTTCCTCTTTCTAACTCATCCTCACCCTCGTACATGGCTATGTATGCTTTTGTGCTTGTGTTATCAACCAAAAATGGATGCTTACGTTTTTATTAAGGCAATTATGTTGTCAGTTTAGCTAACTGAACCCGATTGTTTCTATATCATATCTTTGATGTAAGGATTGCCTGCTTGTTTATTGTGTATGTATGATCAGTGCATGGTGATTCAGGGTTAGCTGTAACTGCATGAAACCCTTAGTGTGAGAATTTGCTTCTACCGCCCCACTGATCAGCTTATAAGTGAGTAGCAGTGGATGTGCTCTCTAATTAGTGAAGACTTTGATTTATGAATATCTCCTTTTGCCTCCTCATGCCTCAAGCTCTGAACATTACCTTATTTATGCATTACCTCATATCACCAACATAGTGTCTTTTATATATCCTTATATCACCTCATTGTGTTAACTATGCTATTGTTAGCATAAATTGTACAATGTTCAGAGATGTTTGTTTCTTTAACTGAATGTTTTAATTTAATATGTTAATATGTAGTTACTCATACCATGTGTACATATATTATTAATAATTGTTAAATAATATATTGTAAATTTTTTTTTTTAAAGATTAAATGTAACCTTGTCTTTTTAAATATGACCTGTTCTTGGCAGGTTTCATGAGAGTCTCCCCGGTGAATATTTATTTCATAACCATTACGCCCCAAAGGGTGACCGTTGTGCCTTATACTGATATACCACATGATCAATAACCCTTTTTATTCACAGGATGCTTCAGATGCTCTGTGTGTGGAGCTGAGGCAGGATATTAAATTGATAAATGACTGTGTTTGAGAGATGCTCGTTATAAAGTGTTATGATGTCTAACGCTGCTCTTGCCCTCTCATGCGGACCTGCCGTCTCATAGGGACAGGTGGAGGAGGATCCCGTGGCAATTCTAAAGGCAGACCATGCCGCTGCCGCCCATCCTAAGGTCTGCTTTCTGCTGTGTGTGTACCGTAGTTCACCTGCATAATCCCACCCTTGACCTGTTGTGTCAAACTTGCCCTTGTGTTGTGGAGTGTTGTGTTCACACCCATCCCATTTCATCGACAACATCCCAGCCGTAGAGCCGCAATTGAGAGACGCACTCAGAGATAGCAAAACAGACAATCTGGCAAATAAAATATGGGTTCATCTAATATTTAATTAGCATTGGATTGTTATTAACAGTGCTGTAGTGTTTTCCACCCTTCCTTCTCATGTGCCACTGTACTTGTAGAGTGTACCAGTTTATCTACAATCATAACATCTTATACTAGCCAAACACTAGAGAAGAGAAGTTCGTGAACTGGAACAGAACTCCATCCTATCAATGGATCACAGATATACTATCTCTCACTGTCAGTTCATGTTCCGACCAGTGTGTGTAGGTCAAGCATGAGTGCAGTGGAAACAGACATGCCCAGACAACCAGAACATCGGGCTTGTAATCTGACCCCGTCCATCATTTGACGCCCGAGTTGGTTTCATCTACACCTGCTGTTAAACTCTCCCTATCTTGCATGACAGCCCACAGCATTTTAAGCTTATTTCCCACTGTAGACATTGGGAAACAATATATATATATATATATAT